ATCAGTTCTTTTTGGTACAGTGACTCTGTGTATTCCTGCCATCTTCTCTTGATGTTTCCTACATCATTCAATATTTTGCCCATAGAATCTCTCACTATTGCAACTCGAGGCTTAAATTTTTTCTTCAGTGTTATGAATAGAGGTTAGCAAATGTGGAGAAGTGTTAACTGTGCATCCAAGGCAAGGGTATTTGGGTGTTTATGGTACTGATCTTAACACTTTCTGGTATTCTGAGTTTTCAAAATTAAAAAATAACAATTAGTAAAGAACTCATGACTTTCAGAAGGAATTGTCAGACCTGTTTATTGTGTACATAGTTGGTTAGCCCTGTGGTACCTTTTTTGAAACATTGAATGCAGTTTAAGAGGCACCTACCTACCCCCTTCTACACAAGCTTGGAATTACTGTTGAAGTCGGGAGTATCCTCTTAGTAGAGTGAGTGTAATCAGTGTTTCTGGGATAAATTTTATAAAAGTGAATTTCTGCTTGTTTGTTAAAAGTAATTAAGTACAAAAGATAATAAGTAGTTTAATAAGTTTGAAGTTATAATAAAGGCATATCTGTAAAAAAAAATAAAATGTTGTCAAAGAAAATGCATGTAATTTTCTTGTTTACCTCAGAATCATTCTAAGAGGTGATGATGCCACCCACCTGCTGAATGATGTGGTCAGAAAGTTAGTGTTTAGAAAGCATCCCTTTTTGTGGCTAAAGATAATTGTTAGCCTGTGGCTTAATTGGTTGTTCAGTTTCAGGGATGAGATCCCTACCATATATGACTGTGGAATATAGATCAGCTACAGGGAGGATACATGTTCAGTAGTATAGAGAGGTGAGCATGTTCTCTCTGTGTGATGTTCCCAGCAGTCTGTAAACAGGTGTCATCATGTCTCGATTAATCTAATTCCTAAACTTTGTCTAGGAGCTCTGGTGGCATAGTGCCTAAGGCACTTGACCGCTAACCAGAAGGCTGGTGGTTCAAACCCACCAGCCACTCCTTGGAAGGAAGACTGGACAATGTACTTCTGTAGTGATACTGCCTTAGAAACCCAAAGAGGGGTTGCTCTGAGTCGGGTCTGACTCAATGGCATACAACAACCACAAAGTTTGTCTATCAGAAAATGTCAAGTTTCCATATTGAACCACCATATTATTCTGTGTTTCCTAAGTGTGGCTTAATTCTTGTTCCAAATAAGGAATCTTTTTTTTTTTTAATAAAATTAATTGGATCACTTACATACGAAAGTACAGCATTTTTTAAATGGTTTTCCACACCAAATCTTTATATGCCAAAAACAACCTTTATAGATTTAATAATAATATTTATAAACTTATAAAGTTTAATTAAAAAGAAAACATATAGAGAATTTTTTACAAAAAAAATATAAAACGTGTGGTAAATTCAAGGCAGTCTTGTGGCTACTTTGGCTGTGACTACTTTGGCCGTACCAATGTAGAAAGTTGTTATCTCAACTTGAGTGTTGGTAATTACTCGACTGGTAGAGCTTAACATCTCAATGACTTTTGTAATGAGGATTTTTAAAGAAATTCTAACCCAGTCTGAGAAACTGATGTGCTCTCTGGTGCTTAGTGAAAAAGTATCGGTAAACTAATGAGGGCAGGTGGGATACGCTACTTCAGCTAGAGTTAATACCTTCTGATGATTTCAAAGCAAAAAAGTCAAAAGTTTGATGCCCTTATTTTATTTTATTATTATTATTTTTTTTACTATTACCCAGCTCTTCGTAGAATTCCAGAAGGCACTAGAGGTTAGAGTTGTCCTGAGCTCTGAGTAAAGATCTTCCGAGAAAGTGCTGGTGCAGCTCTGTGTGGAGAGGCCCAATGTGTATTTTACCTTCTTGAACCAAATGCCTATTAATTCTTGTCCCTACTTACCAAAGTAAATTAATTTGACTTTTAAAGTAAAGGAGGAGAAGCTGATTGTTACAGCTGTACCCACATAAGAGACCCTGACTCAGGGCTTGGCTACTCTGCATTGGAGAGCTGTGGGGCCGCTGATGAAAAGCGTACACCTCTCCTGCATTGCCATGAGGAAAGTGATCTCCTCATTCCACAGTGATGCCCTGTGACCCGGTAAAGGGTTCTGAAAAGGTACTCACATCCAGTTCTCCTTGATTCAGGAAGACCACCTGACATAGCGTCTTGAAAGGGGAAGGTGAAGGCCTCTCTTTGAGATGGGAAAAGATGGGAACATTCTCAAGAGTTGCCTATTCACAGCAATCTTAAATGAATTGTTTGGCTTCTCTTTTTGAAAACAGCCTTTTTAATAGAGGACCACAGAATCTGTTTAGGTCGGTCCCCATCATTGATCTTTCTCACTAATTCACTTGTGCTGATTTTCCTTGTCTTTGACTGTGGCGGATCTAAAGGGCACTTCTGTTTTTTTTATTATTCAGCTGGAATAATCTCATGCTACTTCTTGGAAGAAAGAAAGAAAACTAAAGCCAGTATCTGACTAGGTCATATGAAATCCTAATCTGATTTGTGAACATACTATCTTGACAAACTATAAAATTCTAGGCAGATAAGCTAACAGTCTGTAAAAGAGAAAATAGTCTCGTATCCTAGATTGGATCCAGCTGGAGACTGAGTCTAATCACCTTTTCATGTATGTAAGGATGTTGTGAGAACATGTAACTGCAGTTCGTGTCCTGTTTTCCATTAGTGTCTTTGTTCCACTGCCTTCTGACTTGGGGTAAAACTACGGTAAAGCCAAGAGTGCCTGCTGTGCCTCTGTATCCTAAGAACTCAAAAACTGTTTGCTCAGTTAAGTATAATGTGTCGTACTCCAACATTTGACTTTGACTCTGTCTAAAAACCCACAATTTCTTTTTAATGATTTTCTCATTGAAGCAACTTTCTGGTGGCTCTGAATGGTCTTTCAAAGTACCTCTTACCTTTAGTGATCATGTCCCAAGACCAGCGTTTTCTAAGGTGACTGATCCACCTAAATTCTTGCTTCAGATGCCAACCTCGGTTTCCAGGTTGACTGGACAGAGTTTTCCCTGGATTAATTACTACTACAGTGATCCAGTTTGTCTTACTTTCTTGTCTTAAAAATTGTCATTAGCTTACTTTTCTCATTGTTCTGTTCCTGTGTAGGTTCCGAATAAGTTCCGCTATCCATTCTACTATGAAATGTGCTGGTACGTGTTGGAGCGCTACGTATACTGCATAACCAACCGCTCCCATCTAACTAAGGAATTTCAGAAAGAGTCCCTTAGCATGGGTAAGTGCTTTGCCTGCCTGAACTTTCAGTCCAAGATACCCCATGACTGAGGAGGAAACCAGGAAGAGTTAGTAGCTATTGCTCAATAACTGAGTGGGTTTTAATCTTTTTATTTCTTTTTACTTACTTACTCAATAGTATCAAAATTCATTCATTTGAGCTGAGTGCTGGTCATAGATGTGAATTGCAGGCTAGTAGAGGAAATGCTCTCGGTCTCATCTTTCTCTGAGTTATTAGTACTAGCTCCTCAAGAAAGTTGATCATTTGTCTAATATGTTGTATAAAGAATGGTCTTTGGCACATTAAGAATGAACATTGTTTCATTAATACAATGTTCATAATAATGGTAACTCTTACTATATCCAAGGATAGTGCCTAACCAGAAGCGTGGCGGTTCAAACCTACCAGCCACTCCTCAGAAGGAAGGTTTGGGCAATCTACTTCTGTAGTGATACCACCTTGGAAACCCAAGAAGAGGTCACTCTGAGTTGGGTTTGACTCAATGGCAGTGAGGTTTTTTTTTTTTTTTAATATATACTAAGCAGTTTACATACATTAAATTCTTATGATTACCTGTGATGTAGGTATTGCTGTCTCCATTTTATAGATGGGGATATTGAGGTTCAGGGAGGTGAATGTATGCTCTTAACCCTTGTCTTTTAATGTTTCCCCATATTTATCAAGAAAAATATTTTATTGGATGATAAAATTGTTTCAAGAGCACACTTTTTTATGTTCCATAAAATTGAGAGGAGCCAACATTGTAATATCCTGTAGTCACATTGGTGTGGAATCTTCAATCCAAGGAGTATGCTCGCTCCTCACTTACTGACATGGTTAGGATCCAAAGACCAGATCGTTATGCAGAAATCAGTGTTGTGCGGTAATGAAGGATGATTACATCAGATCACAAAGTGGGGGGTGACTGCATTATTACATAACTGCCAAGCCACTGAGTATCTTGGCGCAGCCAAGTTGACACATAACCTTTAACCATCACAGCCAGCGTTACTGTCACCTCACACCTCAGCATTTGTTGCTGCTAGATATACGTCATTAATGGGGCCAAATAGTTGGATTATAGATTATTTTTATTTTTATTTTTTTTACTATTGTCATAAATGTGAAGTGTTGGATAATGAGATGGTGGATAAGTGAGGACTAGGTGTATCCTTATTTTCATTTCCTCTTACTGCATTACTGCTCATGCTTTTATTCTCATTGGAAAATAGAAAATGTTCACCCAGCTATGAAAGCACTATACAGACTTGTGCATGCTGCAGTATGACCCCAACTTTGTCTAAAAATACATCTGATCGTAGTCATACACATAGGTATAGAAAAAGGTTGAAGGGAGATAGCGCACACGTTGAATTATCCCAAGAAAGAAGGATGAGGGATGATGTGTCACTTCTTTGTACCTTCTGGCATTTTGTAAATTAATAACAGTGGATATGTATTACTTCTGTTGTCATCATTTTCATAAAAGACAAGTGAACATTTCTAAATTCTTTCATAAAACTTCGTATTTTTACTTTGTTTTGAGTATCCAAATCTTCCTTTTCAAAAATTCTGACTTTGTTGTGTTTTGTTATAAGATGTTGCTAAACTCTGAAGCTTAAGTTTTATGATCAACACTTGGGACAAAACTGCTTTTTACATCTGTGTGCCACATACTATCTATTCTTTTAAAAGATAATGAAATCATAATCTCAAATATAACCTTGAACAGGACTCTAATTTATAGCCACTTTTATAAGTAACTTATTTCTAGTACACAGTTCAAAGACTGAGCCCTTCCCAACCTTTTAAAAATCCAATTGAGTATTAGCTCAGTTGTCCTGCTGATCAGGAGCAGTGTTGAATTGCCCAGTAAGCAAAGTAAGCGCAGGCTTTCTTGAGCTTACTTACTAATCTGTAGTGAACAATTTTGCATTTTTTCACCACAACAAAGATTCCTTCCTATGGAATCAAATTCATATTCTCTTCAAATTTATAATCCCTGACAAGGACCAAGTACCCAGTAAGCAAAGTAGGCAACAGGCTTACTTCTGTGTGAAAAACATGTGAAGCTGTGCACTACAAATTAGTTAAGTATGCACAAATAAGCCCACAGTTAGGATCCTGCTTGTACCTTTAACTATGATTTTCAGCAGTGAACTCAATAGCCCCTATGAGTGCTTTAGGAATATGCAGAAGACATGTGGAACCAGGGAGAAGAAAGCCATCTAGGAAAAGGAATTGGAATAAGGAGAAGCTATTTCTGTTTTTAAGGGCCTCTGGTGGTATACCTAAGGCATTTGACTGCTAACCAGAGGTTGGCGGTTCAGACCCACCAGCCACTCTGCAGAAGGAAGGGTGGGCAATCTACTTCCGTAGAGATTTACCACCTCGGAAACCCAGAGGGGTTGCTGTGAGTCGGAATTGACTCAATGGCAGTGAGCTTGGTGTGGGGTTTTTTTTGGTTGTGTAGTAGTTAAGGCATTTGGCTGCTAACCAAAAGGTCAGTGATTTGATCCCAACAGCTGCTCTGAAAGATGAGGGGATCTGCTTCTGTAAAGATTTACAGCCTTGGAAATCCAGTGAGAGCCACTATGAGTTGGAATTGTCTCAGTGGCCTTGAGTTTGGTGGGTTTTATTTTATTAATTTAAAAAAAAAAACAACACTTTTTATTGTGTTTTGGGTGAAAGTTAATAGAGCAAATTCATTTTCTATTTAATAGTTCCTATACATTTTGTTTTGTGACATTGATTGCAGTCCCCATAATGTAAAAGCTCTCTTTCCACTTCCTCCCTGTGGTTACCGTTTCCCTGTTCTTTCCTATACATTCCTGCCCTCTGGGTTGTCTCCCTGTGCAAATGGTGCCCTTCTGATCTTCCATGGTTGATTGTTCTAAGAAGTGTACCTTCCTAGGTAATTGTTCACTTTATATGCCTGTCTGTTGTTGGCTGGAAGCAATGGGAGTGAGTTTAATTCCATGCCTGAAGGGTCTAGGGGCCGTAGTCTCAAGGGCTTCACCAGTCTCTGTCAGACACTAGTAAGCCTGGTCTTTTTTATGATTCTGAGTTTTATTCTACCTTTTTCTCCCACTCTAGCTGGGATCTCCAATTTTGACCCCTTTCTGAGGGGTTGGCAGTGATAGCCGGGCACCATCTAGTTCTTCTGATCACAGGGTCATGTAGGCTGAGATTCCCACGGCCCACTAGTAACTTGGACTAATTGCTTCCATGTGTCTTTGACTCTTCACTGTTCTTTGCTCTAGATGACGAGAGACCAATAGTTGTATCTTAGATGGCTGCTCACAAGCTTTTAAGACTCCAGTCGCTACTCACCAAAATAGGATGTAGAACAGTGTTTTTGTGTGCTGTGTTATGCCAATTGAGTCTGATGTCCCTCATGACCATGGTCCTGAGCCCACGGGTCCAGCAAAGTTATCATAAATTTTGCCCCCACTTCACTCTATTGTATATATGGACATTTTTATAGAACATAAAAATATGTATGTAGAAATATTGTCTGCCAAACCTGTATTTATTTGGTCATGGCTATATTCCCATTCACCTACCCATACCTGATCATCTTGCCTGTCTACCTGTGTATCCACCCTGTAGATTAATGTTTTGTTATTACTGATAGTGCAGTATTGTGTGTGTAATGTATTTACTTTTGTTGTCTGTACTTGCTATTCACCTCCGTGTTTTCTTTTCCTTAGTGATACTGTGCTGGCCACCCATTTTTGGTGTATTGCCGTTCCCTTCACCCAAAGCAATACATATCTCTTACTTAGCTAGTGGTTTTCCCTCCCTTCCCTCCCTGGCAACCAATAAAGAAAGTTTCCTTCCCTGTATAAACCTTTCTTCATGTAAACCTTACCTTTGCATTTTATAATAGTGGACTCATATGTCCTTCTGTGATTGACTTATTTCACTTAGCATAATGTCTTCCAAGTGTATCAACGTTACAAGATGTTTTGCAGATTCTTCATTATTCTTTAGTGTTGTGTAGTATTCCATTGTGTATATGTACCATAGTTTGGTTGTCCATTCATCCTTGATGGGCACTTAGGTTGTTTCCCTCACTTTATTTACTATGGTGAATCGTGCTTTGATGAAAATAGGTGTGCATATATTTATTTGTGTCCTGGCTTTCACTTCTTTAGGATACATACCTAGTAGTGGGATTGCTGGATCAAATGGTATTTCTGCTTGCAACTTTTTAAGGAAGTACTATACTATTTTCCAAGGGAGCTCTGGTAACATAGTGGCTAAAGGCACTTGACTGCTAACCAGAAG